TGTGGCTCCCTCGTGTTCCCTCTTACTCCAGGTACTAACTCCAGGCGAAAGGCGACCATTAGCTGAGGCGGGAGTGGGAGTTGGTGACTTTGCACCCCAGCGATCAGAAACCGAGCTGCTCGTAGTAGACGGCGGAATAGCAATCGATTTTGGCGCAAGGGAGGACGCAGTACTGCTAGCATTGGAATTCCCTCGTCCCCGAATACCCGGAGGAGTATTATACCCAGAATTATAACCCGTTGCCTGTGGGCTTAGAACCGGCTTCGATTTTGGCCCCATCGCGGTAGGAAAGGAATCCGGGTTGACATTGTTCGCGGCGCGGCTGAATGCGCCAATGCACTGCAAGACTTGAGCGGGATCTTTCTTCTCAAAGAGGTCGACGGTCAGGAACATGTCGTGCTGCTGTAGGTTGAGTGGTGGTCCTTGAGAAGCGCGGAGGAAGTGGGAAATGTTCTCCATTTGGACGAAGGGCATGGCGGACTTCTTGAATTTCACTCCTGGGGGGCCGACGATGAGATTGACGAGCTTGCAGAGTGCGACTCCATCTTTGAGTGCGTCGAGAAGATCACCGGCAGGGAGGCGCTCGTTGAGGATTGACTCTATCCATTGCTTCGCTTCGTTCGCGGCGGCGGGGGTATATTTCTCGAGTCGCAGTTTTCGTAGATCACCGTCTAAAGACGTTACTGACGCCATGATGGGCGTGCTTATTTTATTGTCTGCTTTGGTAGGTTTTGGTAATAAAAGGAAAAAGAAGATCAAAAGCAAGAGAAGAAGAAGAAGGTTGCGTCAGCGCGGGCAGCGGCTCTGAGTGAATAGGTATTTTGTCTGTTAATTAGCGACGTTTAATTAGTTGCTCCTGAAAAGTTGACAGCGATAATTCCGCTAGGAAATGAATTTTTTTGCAAGGGATAAAAAAGTAGTTTTATTTTTGGTTCTTTCTCCTCTTTTTCATCTGTCAATTCAATTGTAAGAAAAAAGAAGGAAACAAGTCCTTCTTTTCTGGAATTCAAGAAAAGGCATCCGCGCGGGCGCATTCCTGCTTGCCTTTCATCTCATCATTCATCCCACTAAAAAATGCCTGGGGGACCCCTCATTAACAATCTTGGCAAACCCAAGCCACAAAAGATGGGGGAGGCTGGTGTAGCATTCTTTTTTGCTGCAACTCAATTAATATTGTGGCTGGGGTAGGTATTGCGACAAGAACCATTTTTAAATCCCGGCTTGGCAAACGACGTCACTTTTTACTTGCAGCTACTTTCAGTTTTGAGCTTCAATTCTAAATTCAATTAAACGAATATCGGCCATTTCAACCTTTCCGCGTCGCGTCGCCAAAATGTCTCAACCACCACCCCTCTCCCCCTTTTTAAAAGCCTACTACAAATGGAAATCAATCCGTTTTCCCTGGCGTAGACAATACCTAGTTGGTTCGTTCCCCCGGTCCCCCGGTCCCCCAGTCCCCCTTCCCCCCAAGCTTCAACAAACCCCCCTCCACCCGCAACCGCATTCTAAAACCACCTTCTTCTAACTATAAAAGGCCTCGACCTAAAAAACAACACCTTCTGGGAATTCCTCGACCGCGGCACCTCCCCCAAAACCACCCCCTCCCACCTCTGGCGTCGAATAGTCTACCCTCCTCCCTCCGCCAAAATCCACCCCTCCGAAATTCAAATCTCCCCAGCATGGCATCAATGGCTTCGACATACACGCAATGACCCCCCCTCTCTAACCGAACAAACACAAGACGTACTCAGACAAGAACGTATGAAAATCCTCGCGGCTCAGGCTGATGCTAGATGGGCTGCTAAACCGGGTTATGTTGATGCTCCTTCAGAGTCAAAAGAAATAAGAAAGCCGCAGTTGGTTGGTGGTGGTATGCTTGAAAAAGAAGAACAAGGACAAAATGGAGGGGCAGTAGTAGTTGAAGGAAAGGAAGAGGGAGAGGTATTAAAGGAACAGAGGCAAAAAGCTTGGAAGGAAATGAAGGAATCTCAAGGAAAAATACCTGCTCAAAAAGATCCGTGGAAAAGAGCTGCGGCGGGAGGGCCGAGTGAGGAGTGGCAGCCCAAGGCTTGGACTCCTGGAAAAAAATAGAACGGTGTATTTGTAGGGAGTTTGGCGTGGTATATGTATTATACCGTTGTGTGTATGGCATTGTGATTTGTACATCAATCATCAGGAGTTTGTAGAGGGAAAAAAAAGCAAAAGACGGCAAGAGACACGCAACTCATCACTCAAGTTTGAAGAATATAATATGTATGTACATACGCAGAATCCCACCTATTAGGGGATATGATATACAGTTTGCTCGGGACGTCACGAAACCGCAACAAGAATATACACACAGCGCCCTCGTATCATGCAAATACCTGCTAAAAAAGACAATAACCACAACCACCAAAACTTTTGAAATGTCCATTTTCCCGACATAGACGACGCTCAGCGAGAGGGGGTATCAAAAAAACCAAATGATAAAAACCCAAAAAAAAAATGTCCCTCCGATAAAATACCACACCAAAACTCCTCGCCCGACCTAAATCCCATACGTATGTACTCGTCCAAACAATTCAGAAACTAGTCTTTAAGACTCATAATCCTCTTCCAACATGGTCGCAACCAACCTCAAGTTCGCTGACGACTCATCCATCATATCTCGCGCCATCTGCTCCGCTTCGCTCAATTTTGCATTACTCGCCCCCCTTCTCTTGACTTTCGCCTCTCGCGCAGTAATACCTTTGTCGATAGCGTCTATTATGCCAATTGTATCATCAATCTCCGCCTGTGACACAAGAACCCACATCATATTCTCAAGAACAATCGAAAGCTTCGCATTATCTTCTGCAGTTACCCTGCCAGACGCAAGAGGCAAGAAGCAATTCTCCATGATGACAGGCGATATACCATTAACAGCGTTCGTCTCCTCGTCATATCTGTCAGGATCGGGCGAGTTCGGAGGGAGCAGATCCTCTGCTATTTTGCGGTACAGGGAAACCTTGACAAAAACTGGCAGGTTGTTATTCGCCTCCACGAAGAGCGGGAAAAGGGGTAAAGGGAGATTTCGCATCATCTTCGAGAAACTCTGGTAAAGTTCAGTAGTTGAAAAGAATTTTTTGTCGGGAAGGTAATGGGCTGCCGCCGATAGTAGCCGGAATATTCTCAGTCGAAAAGGTACCGTTTCCGCAATCCCATCAGTCAGTCGGAAGGAAACATCATCCTTGGCCGGCTTTCTCCTCGCTTTCCTCAGTACTGGAAGTTCTTGTCCATCTCCCTCTCCCTGCTCTGGGTCTGACTCCGACTCTTCGTTGTCCATGTAATCTCCCCACATATCATTTTCCAAATCCAGTTTTGCAATATCGGCCTTTCGTTTCTTTAGCTTCCGTGGCCCAACCACCGTCTCCTTGCCAAAGATTTCTCCGAAAACGGACTTGTCTCCATTATCATCAGTCGTGAATGACAACAAAGCCCTCAAAACATCCTTCAAAACATTCTTCCTATCGCTCTGCAAGTCTTCCAGCCAGTCGACCATAATACTCTGTCTCAACCTCGTATATTCACACTCGCAGTCACCTCGAGCAGCTTCCTCTTCATCCAGCCTTAACCTCTCATCCCAGTCCGTCTCAACCACCTCCAAGACAAGGTCAAGCCACTCCTTCCAAAACTTCCATCTTCCCGGATAGACAGCGGCGCATCGAAAACTCCATCCCAGAACTGACCAAAAGTTTTCGGCTCTTAAGAATACCAATTCGTCGCGCGCAAAGGGGCAGTTCATACTGTCGGAGTCACTAGCCTCGCCCCATCCGCTGCTGCTCCCCGAATCGTCGTCCCAGGCTGCTGCTTTGCCTTTCTGTCTCCTTTTAGCTCGCACATTATTTTTACTATGAAAAGAGAAAGCTTGTTTGAAGTTTGCGTTTAATGGGCCGACTGTGCTGATTAATCCGCGAAGGTATGTGAGTGCGTGATTACCGTCACGTCGGCGACCGCCTTCTGCGGGCCGCGAGGTAAAGTGGGGGTGGATGGCCATTGTGGTGAGGAATGCGAGTTGTGAGGGAGTTGCAATTCGTTTGGTATGATCGGCCAAGAGTCCTTCGAGAAGCGTAAGGGCTTGGGAATCTGTGAAGACTGGTTAGGAATTGGTTAAGAAAAACAAAGTGGGGGCCATACAGAGCTGTTCCTCGAGGTGGATTTGGATCCCAAACTTTAGTTGAAATGGGGGTTCTATCGCTTTTTGGTATTCATGGACTTCTTCAGAAGCCTTTTCTTCGTGACATTCAACGTCGTCCGGCGTGGTCATAATCGTCGTATCTGCTTCATGGTGGTCCTCTGATGCAACGATCGCCGAGTGTGGTGCTGTGTGGAAGGATTTAGGCGACCGTGTTTGTGCAGTTGTGAGAGGAGACGTGAGCTCCATCTTTGCGATTTGTGAAACGCCCCGGGGCAGATCGTGTTGTCGTTCAAGAGCAAACTTTTGAAAAATACAGGAAAAAAAAAACGCGAGTGGGATGGTGGGAGAAAAGATAAAAGATGAAGCGAACAAGCGCGTTGCATGCGACTGTGGGGGGCCTCCACAAACGGGTGGTGGTGTCTTAGCGCGCTTTCCCCAATTCTTATCACCCACCCACACCCCTGTAAGGCATCAAAGTTGCTGCGTCAGTGCATCTTTAACTTTTGAAATTTCAAGGTTCAAAATCCAGGTGCATTTGAGAAGAGAAAAATACGAAAGCAAGTGCATTGTTTTTATTTTTCAGGAAAGCGTCAGAATTATTCTCTGTTGCTCAAATTGTTACACAATGTCTGGGCCACACGAACAAGCTTTCCTTGTCTTAACCTCAACACCACGAAATCCATAACCACATAATATTTTCAACCTTGCGATGGCTTCACTGGCCGCCACTCTCGTCATCAAAGCCACAAAACCCACCACAACCACCAAACCAAATCTGACTCACACAATCCCACCCCTAGCCTCTGGGGGTATTAATTTCCAATTCTGGGTTTGGAAAAATGTTCTCGTAGCGCAGTGGTTAGCATCTGAGGTTCTTAGCATTTGATTTTCTGAATTTTCCCAGCGAACACCTAAGATAGCGGAAGACCTCGGTTTCAATCCGACCGAGGACATATTCTTTTTTTTTCTTTTCTCATTTACTTTTTCAACTTTAAAACAATCCAAGCCGCCAAACGATACCCAAAAATAATAGCAACCATAATCCCAACATCCCTTCCCATATGTCCAGTCCCATATTCATATTGATCAAGTACTCCCTTTCCACGAACCAAACACTGATCAGCCAAATCAGTTTGCCACATGCAATAACATTCTCCATCATTCCCAGTCTTTGTGCAACTATACACCCTCTCACTAAACTCATTAACCATCATTCCCTCAAATACGTATTTTTGGTAGTCCCAATAATGAAAGACGTATTTGTAAAACACGTTTAGTGTCGCAGGCGGCACCATGAATCCGTTCAGGGACATCCAAAGACCGTTTGCAAATGCAACCAAAGCCAAAGAAATAACAAACGACGGTACCAAGGAAGTCATAAAGATCACCAAACTCTCAGCCGCCAATAAATCCATGAATAACCAAAACACCCAAGTGAAAAATGCCTTTGCCGTCGGTTGAAAGTTTGACAACCAATAGCAAACAACAGAAAAGATGACAGAGAATAAAAAGAGATATGGCGTTCCAATCAAGAAATTGGAAACAATCATCTCGGTAGCTCCGTATAGACCGTTTCTTTTTTCCTTGATGTACTGCATGTAATCCTCCAAATAAGCAGGACAATAAGCCACTGCCATAAAACTGAGGAAACAACTTCCGTAAAAGATGGAGTTGATGAATGGTTGGATGTTTTCTTGAGTTGGTTCGAGTCTCAACCAGACTGTTCCCATCATGATTGCCAGACCTATCACTTTTGTCAGTAACCACACCCTTCTCAAACCCCCATCATAATGTTAAAACTCACCAGTATACATAGCCAACCTAATCCCATAAACAACCACATCCCTATAACTCTTTACAAAACTCCTATGAACCAAATAAGTTATGACCCTCAACATCCCCGGTCCTTTTTCCCTCTCAACCTCCCCTTCATACCCTCCTCCCTCCTCTTCTTTTTTCCTTTGTCCCTCAACTAAATTCCTCAACTCCTTAGCCCTCTCACTCCTTTCCCATTCCCTACTCATCTCTTCTAATTTCCTCTCTACACCTTCCCTATCCTCACTAAAATCACTACTAACCATCTCCAACATCCACTCTGCGATATTCACATGAACAGGAACTGTCATTCCCAATCCTTCAAAATGTGTGGTCACATCTTTTACGTCGCCAAAGTAATGTGTTCTTCCTTTCGACAACAACAAAACTTTGTCAAAGAGATTGAATGTCGCTGAGGAGGGTTGATGAATGCTTGCAATGACAATAATCTATTCAAATCAGCATCAAATCAACAAGGTGTGTGTAGTTTTTGTGGAAATTACCTTTTCCTCCTTCACAACCCTCCTCAAATACCTAACAACCTCCCACCCCCCAACAGCATCCAACCCACTAATCGGTTCATCCAAAAACAATATCCTCGGCCCAGTAATCAATTGACTCGCCACTCCCAACCGTCTCTTCTGTCCTCCAGACAACCCCTTTCTTATCGGTGTGCCAACAATAACGTCTGCTTGTTCTCTCAATCCAAAAACATCTATCAAGTGTTCCACTCTCGCTTCTCTGTTTTTCGCACCGGAAAGTTTAGCTGCGAATAAAAGGGTTTCACGAACGGTAAGGGAACCTATAAGCGCGTCGGTTTGTTCTACGAAACGGGTGATATCTTGGTAATTGGAGAGGGGAAGGGACGGGGAGAGGATAGAGCCGGTTGATGGAGTTAATCGACGGGAGAGGAGGGAGAGGAGGGTTGTTTTGCCTGAGCCGGAGGGACCGGTTATTGCTAGGAGGGTGCCGGCGGGGAGGTGGGCGGAGGTTGGGTGGAGGAGGGTTTTTTGGGTGGGGAGGGTGTAGGAGAGGGAGGAGAATGTTAATGAGGGGGAGGAGGTTGTTTGGAGGGAGGCCTGTTCGAGGTCGGGGGAGGGGGCTGTTGAGGAGGAGGACATTGTGGAGGTGAGTATAGGGATATCAAAGTAATCTTATTCGGTCAAATCTAAGGGGGAAGAGAAAGAGTGGATATATTATTGTTGATGGGAAGTTGGATGGATTTGGAGAGAGAATGGAGATAATAATACTCATTAAATCTTGGTCTCGGTCTCTCGATCTGGGAACTGAAAGAGTTTATATAACGGAGGTGGTTATATTATAACCATCTTCATCCTCTCCCCCCTGACAAAGATCATCATCGCCAACCATCAAGACCGGTTACCTCACCGCCAGGCACACACTCATCAAGTCCTCCAGTTCCCCGAAACTCTTTTAGTGAGGTCTTTCAGGCACACAACCCAGTTCCCCGAGCCCAACGTCAGATCCTTCTTTCTCTACCTAACTAGGCCTCCCATCTCGAATCCGAGAATCATGCTGACAAGCACTCGGGAACCACATATATTGAGCCTCAAGCCCGCATATTTCCCAAATCCCCGGTAAGAGGTATCCTGACCAATGATGTGCACGACATCGCCAAGCTTACATGTATATATGAATACTCGCCCGGATTTACTGGAGCCCGCTTATCGATCAGCAAAATGATCTCGATGATTATTCGGCGATTCAAAGTTGTATGTTCGGGTTATTCCGAGCTGAGTACCTATGGAGGTATGCATGGAACGCAACGTGGAAGTTTGATGTGTGAGAGTGTGGGTGGGTGAGTAAGGTAGGTGCCCGGATGTTACCCTACCACGTTTTTTTTCTTTCTTTCCGTTCATCATCGGATTTCATGTCTGATGGATGATGGACTTGATGTTGGTTTGCAAGAGTCGTGACGCAGGTCGCCGTCCTTACAGTCTCAGCCGTATCTATGATGAAAATGCTGAAGAAGGTGCTGATGAAGAACGCCCCATGTCTCACCCCAGCTTTCGCCCAGCTCGCCCAGCAATATCAAAGTTGGGATCTACAATCTTAGACTTATAACACTAGCCTTTTCCCTCACTCCTCACTAGACTCTATCATAATGACAGCCTTTCCCATCTTGAGATAAAATCCCCGCGCTCGCCGACATACACATGTCTCACTCCCCACACCACCTTCATCATATTTTCTTTTCTTCGCCGAACAAGCCACCACATTCTTATCCCCGAGATGGACCTCCCCCTCAACCAATCACGGGTTAATGATGATGCTCTGTTGGCACTAAAATTTCTTCAAGACCATAGAATCGGCGACTCACATAGCTTTTGGTACCCTATCGTGCCTATCAAGCATCTTTCAGCTGAGCCATCTTCGTGCATATGATAGGTACATCCAGTCGGGTCCGTACCGATGAAGTATATCTACTTCCTCGGCGACCAGATACTTTAAGACTCAACCAAAGTTCCCAGATTTGTACGGAATACTTACCAGGTACACGATCATCCTATCATCAAGGTATAACTTCGCCGACTCAAATCCAACTTCCAACTTCCAAATCTGGAAATCATAGCCGACAGAATTGACTTACACTATGTGTGTGAGGCTTGCCTTTAGCTCTCCCGATGAACGGCGACCACACTTTCTTCAGCCTGGATGGTTATCACAAACCCCAATACTTGTGTGCTTCTTCAATTCTGTTCCTCTCGGGAACAGATCAGTCTTCAACACGGCTCGAGATTTTGACAGCCGTCGCAGCAAGCTGTGTAGTTAAGCTCTTTCTTTTCTGTGTACTTGCCCAAAAGAATAATGAAGTAAACAAGCTCTCCAAACTAAATTACCAAAAAACCAGGCGTGCTGATATTTGCCCAGATATCCAAAATAAATATTCGTTAAAAAATACTTCCTTCATATAAAAACTCCAGTCTCTCCCAACTTCATCTTTTCCGTTCTTTTTAAATCCAAAGACAAAAAGCAAGAAAAAACCCCCTCATGTACTTTCCTGTCCTGTTTCCCCTTTACAGTAATCCCTTACCCCATCAATTTTAGCTGTATCCAACAAAAATAGAAAAACAAAACTCACCCCTTAACTTGCTTTTTCATCGACCATTCCCTCTACTAAGCGCACTCGTAACTGAAGGCGGCCCCGAAACCGATGTTGAACCCACAATAGAACCTAAACCGAAAACAAAAAAAACAAAAAAAAAATTAACACAGTTCTCCTTCATAAAAAAAAATCATCTCCCCGCAGACGTAACAACCGTCCCTCCTTCCCCAGTCGTCGTCCCCTGTTGTTGCTGCTGCTGCTGCTGCTGTTGTTGTTGTTGAGCCAACATACTATTAAACTCACTCATGATCCCTTCATCAGCATTAATACTGCTAATCATTTGCTCCTGCGTAAACCCAACCCAAAAAGCCGGTGAAATCTGTTGAGCTTTCTTCTCTCGATAAATCTCCTGCGCGACACCTTTAACTTGTCCCCATGCGGTATTTGCCGCTTTCCAGACTTTAGAAATCTTATTGAGAGCACCAATGTTGAGTCTGATTTGCTGACGGAGGTCTTCTTCGTCGTCGATGAAATAAAGAGCCCATTTCGATAGATGAACAATAGAGCTGAGTGTTACGACGCAAGTGAAGAAATGGGTATGGTTGATAATCGGCACTGCTTGGGTGACCATCTTGGAGATTTCGCATGCTGCAGTGATGGTATGGCGTGTATGAGCGTTAAAGTTGTCTCCAGAGGGAACCGGTCTATGAGGGGCGCAAGAGTTGACTGCTTGAACTGGCGAAGAGTCAAGTTGGGAGAGAGGTTGATGAAGCATGATTGTGCATCTGATCAGGTTAGAACGACTTGACAGAGTCAAAAGACACGGTTGAAATACGTACGCATGGGTGATAAAGTGCGCTTGAAACATCATTTCGTCCAACTGGCAGTTCCTGTTGAGATCATTCTGCTTTGACTCGGGAAGATGTATTCTCCAGTTGGTGAGCAGGGTTTCCACCCGAGTGATATTTTCATCGCCAGGATACATGATTGGAGGAGTGCGCATAAATCTTCCAAGATTTCTGGCAGCTGCAATACGGTAGGCAAACGAGGAGAATTCTCGGTCTTCACCGG